TAGATAAATCTTCAATTACCGAATTCAGATCCTTCGGGTTGATATTCAAAGTTGCCAAATGGTTTAAGATTTAGGCGCGTTGGCGGAGGTAGTGGATCTTCTGGAGGATTAACAGTTTCTATTGGCTCAACAATGGTACACCTATCAATTGTCCATGTAAATTTGTTAAGTGGATTTCCGTACATATAGTTTGATTCTTTGACTTGTGCAACTGACACCAAGTAAGTATGGAAAGGGCGAAACAGATCTGCAAAATGCATTATCTCCACATTGAATATAACACATTCCACTTGATTTTCCTGTAATAAAATAAGGCACAATTAGGATAATATTAACTTAATTACTATTGGCAAACTTATGAATCCTTTAAAGATTATCTCTTCATCTTGCAAAACCATCAGCTGATATTTTTTCGTTTTCTCTCTGTTGTCTCTAGGTCTGCCTTTATCAACTACTTGTATCTTGCAGGTCCATTCTTCCGTTTCTGGAGTAATCGCATTGATGTTGAATCTTTCTGCCATCTAGACATAATCGACAATCATAACGCATCACAATTATAATAATGAGCAAACGTAAGATTGTTAGAATGATTATAATACAAAATCAAAGAATGCAAAAAGTAAATAAGTTGTACATCACACTTACTATTAGGAATGATGGTCTAAGTTAGGGAAAAAACTTTTTCAATAATTTCATCATAAACTACATTATATGTGGAGTGATCATCATCATCGTCAGCTATAACCGGTCTAATTAATATCTTGACATAGTTAGAACCTTTAGCTCTTGATAAAGCAACGTACAATTGACCATGCGAAAATACAGGTTCTCGCAAATAAATGCCAACAAAATCTAATGTTTGGCCTTGAGCTTTATTTATAGTCATGGCGAAACATAACCGTATCGGAAATTGTGTTCTTTTAAATTGAAGGGGTAGTTTTTCATCTTCTGATGTTAATAGTGGTATTCGCAGAATGAATACATGTGTATTTTTAAAATCACCACTGGATATTGTAGCACTAATAACATGAGATTTGAAGTAATTACATATTAATCGTGTCCCATTGCACAAACCTTCGCAGGGATTCAAATTTCTTAATAATATAATTGGACAATTTTTTTTAGACACAATATAAGGAGGTAAACCAGGAGGATTTAAAGCGTGCAAAAAGTCGTCATATTCACTTTGATCTTTTGGATCAATTGTTTCATCGGTAGCTAAATAGACTTTTTCATCAGCTGGAAATTGAGCAATTAGCATATCATTTATTTCATCAACGAAGTCGTTCTTTATAGTTAGAATTGCGCGAGAAGTAATAAAAGAAATATTTGAATGAGTTAAATATAAATCAGGATAAGTAAATTTAAATAGATGATTCAAGGAATCTTTTTCAGTGGTGAAAGGTATGATTAGAGGACGGAGAATTTCTATTTTGTTCTTATCATTTTTGTTTTCTTTTCCATTACCAATTCTCATCAAATATTCACAAAAAGCTGGGTCTGTTTCCGCACGCATATTTTCGGACAGTTGTAATTTTTCAAGTTGATGCCAAATTTCAGAACATAATAAGCTTTCACGAACAAAATCTTCTCTTTGTCCACCACGGACAACGGGAAGAGTTTGTCTAAAATCGCCACTGAATACAACAACCTTTCCGCCGAACAACATAGTTGTTTCCATTAAATCTCTAAGGAGCAAATCTAATGCTTCAACCATTTCTTTTTTTGCCATTGAAATTTCGTCCCATACTATTAGTTTTGCATCTCGAATCAACGATGACAATGAACTTTGTTTGTTAATATTGCAACTAAAATTTCCATCAACATCAATAGGTATTTTAAATCGGAAATGAGCAGTTCGGCCTCTGGGAAGAAGTGAAGCAGCAACACCTGAACTCGCAGTCGCTAATGCTATAAATCCTCTATGTCGTACTGTAGCTAATAAGGCACGATATAAAAAGCTTTTTCATGTTCCGCCCGGACCATCAATGAAGAATGCTCCGAGTTTATTTGAGAATATTCTATCAAGGATTACATTGTAAGCTCTTTTTTGTTCAATGTTTAGTTTATATGGCAATAGTAAATCTTGTTCAGTAACGATAATATTCCTTTCAAAATGTACATCTTTAGCTTCTTTGGCTGTTTCAGATGGTTGAATTTTGCCCTGAGTTAGTTCAAATTCGTTGATATCATGACCCATTGAATGAAGAATATCATTAATATGATTTAATACTTTGTGACGAATTTCTCGCGTATGCATGTTTGGGTATTTTTTGAAATCTTCAGACATCGGGATTTCAAATTTTTTCCCACATCTCTCTTGGATTAGCGGGATTGCAATATACTAATAGTACAGCAAATAAGTGTCTCAAACTGTGTGGCATTTGGTAACTTACTGCTTCTGACATGCATTCTATTAAATTATTATCGCAGAGTAATAATCTTCTTTTTTCCGCAGCTTCTCTAAACGTGCCACAAGTTATTCCGTTTACAGTTCGCAAATTTTTATACGATTTTGGTCCTCTTACGTTCATTAAGAGCAATCTAAGATAGTATCTTTCTCCTTCGGTTGGATGACATATCATAACTCTACCAATAGCATATCCTTGTTGGCGATGCGACCACATCTTGTATGTTGTGGACCATACAAAATATTCTGGAAATTCCCGATATAATAAATTCAAAGTTATAGCATTTTCGTTTTCGTTATTCATTCTAAAAAATTCAGTTAACATCGTTTTTTTAATCATAGGATTATTTACAATTCTACTAATATTGCCTGTATTTTTGAAGGAAACAATTTGTTGTCCATCAAGATGCAGTTGAAGATGGTATACATTTGGAATCATTTCACTGATAGGAAAAGTAAATATGCACCACAGAGCCTCAGGTGGTGACACCCACCTAGCAGATTGATATTCCTTTATTTCATCTACTTCTATATTCGTCTCATTAGGATGTATATGAAATGCAATTTTATCATGTCCTTTGCAAATATACTTGTAAATGCACTTAAAAACTTTAATATCAGAGCAAATCACCACATTTATATGACAATTAAATTTACAAAGTAAGAATAGATTGTAAGAAACAACCCATGAATTATCAAAAAGTTGTCCTCTAATTTCCACAGATTTTCCTGTATTTCGTCTTCTATAAATAGGGTATGAATTTTTTCCTTTAGTTGTCTGTTCATACAGGGGCTTGTTGGATTTAATTGACCGCAAGGACCATGTAGCATGTGTTGTGTAACAAGCATAAATAAATCAGAATTTCTTTTAGGATCCGGTAATTCAGCGCAAACAAATTTATCATATGCCTCAGGGGTCAGTAGTTTGTATTTTTCATCGAGTATAATAAGAAAATGAGCATGTGGAAGTCCCCGTTTTTGGAATTCGCCCGTGTACATAAATGCTGCAACTTTACCAAATATTTGTCTTTTTAGTATATCCTTTTTAAGCTCTTCTAGTTTTGCTCGAAATATTCGGCTAACTAAATCGGGTCTATTCTGAGCCTCATCTGTCAACAACAAGTTTTCTTGAATTTCAGGCCACGAAGGGTTACATGTTATAGTTAGAAATATATCGGGTATTCCAAAACGTTGTACTAATGCAATAGCATCCATATACCGGCGATGCATATCTCTTGGCCCTCCTGTGAAGCTAAGTGGAAGTATTCTGTTTTTACCTACCTGTGAGCCTTCTCTCTCACCGCGTCGCAAAAGATCTAAAAGTCCCGCTAACACATCCATCCTGAATAAATCTTGATTGAAAAAAGCGAAATCTAATCTTTGAGTTTCAACTTTTATCCATTCGTCTACAGCATATTGTTGAAATAATCGTCCTGAATGTAAGATTATATTTTCATTATCTCTAATTTGGAGCTGATAACAATAATATTCACGACAAGAAACTGTTTCTCTTTTTCGTTTGCCTTTTTGCATCACTTCAGCTTCCATGTCAAGGAATCCATCAATTGAAGTCATATTTGTTAGACATGGCAATTGTTCGCATTCACAATACGGATGTGTTCTGGAAGGGGTAGGTGAAGGCTTAACTTTTTGAATACCACAATGCCAACCATTTTGACCGTAAGGGAACAGTAATGGATATTGCAATGGGTCGTAACATCCGTAATAATAATTTACCAGCTGGCTTCTATCACTTTTTGTATATATTCGGATATGTGGTGTAGGGATGCAATTATTGGTATCTTGTTCTACCCATATTCCTGCCACTTCTGACGTAGTTGGTAGGTTGTATATTCGTTGATCTAAACCAGCATCACACTTAAGCGCAATGTAGAAATCTGATAATTGTGGTATATTTATTAAGGATTTCAAAAACATAGCATAAGGATTGGTTTTTAATATTTCCATTAAATTTTTCACAGTATCCTCGTTCATTTATTGGAACATGCCATTCGATTGCTCACCTCATTTTCATTATCATAGAAATATAATTGTAGATTTTTTCCTTTTTCATTACTTGGTATCAGGTCATTCATGAAATGATACATTTGTCCTTGAACTCGAAATGTATAAATACCTTTATTCCTTTTCGCCAACTCTTTGTCATAACTTACTCCCAGGGATGTGAACGCAAATATATTATTGTATGTTCTTATGTAGGTTCGAAAATGCTTTGATTCTTCAGTATTTCCTAGACACAGAGTTCTTAACTCTAATGGTACTTGATGTGAAATCAGCTTAATAGTGCCTTTGCGACAACAGAATGCGGGTGGTTCGTATTCAAATTTTTTGGCTTCGCAAAATTTGCATTTGGGAACAGTTTTTAACATAACATAATCAATTGATGGTTGAATTGTTATTGACTCTTCAGTATATTGTTCATGATTTGTATTAGATGTAGATCCTGGGATGCAACAATAACAAGTATAAATATATAATTTTGATAGTTATAAATGCATATACGTATTTATACTTGTGTATACCATCAAGAAGTCATAGTCTAGCTCTCTAACCTGCTTCATATATTGAATATCCCACAAAAGGAAGATGTTGCTCGCTTGAAATATTAGCACTCATAGAGGATGATGCGATAACAGAGCTATTAATTAGCGAGCAAGCAGGAAGTTGCCGACCACTTGTTTCGTCCTTACTTGCTCGCGCTCGTACTCGCACTAGGAGAGCCTCCTTTTTATCGCCTTGCATCATCTTGTATAATTCGCGTCGCCTTGCTTTCTTGTCAGCATATATTTTTTCACAATTTTCATTTTTATGATTTTTACTCGACATATTCACGCATCTATTTCCTGAAGGAGAAATGTCAAGTGCATACTTGCATTACTGAATATATTTTCAACATTGTCTAATATTTATATATGTTTATTATAATTTTTTAAAAGAACTCAAGTAAAAACTTACAATACCTAAAAATAAATCACGAGATATTAGAAAATTTACCTTTCGGTTCAAGTGCCACTGAATAACAGAGGTAGAAAACAACCACAACGAATCGCTAGAACTGCAATAATAAAGAAGATAAATTGAGAATTTGCATGCCTCTCAAATACATAGGGATAGTTTGTATTTTCAAGCATAACATAAAGCACATCCTAAACATCGGCATGAGCAACTTGCAACAATGCCCAACTTAGTAGCCAACCTCTGTCACTTCAGCCTTACGAGAAGACTTATATTGTTATTGATATATCCTACTAAAACAAATAAACACCAACCAACTATGAAAATATATATGTACAAGTGAATATGTGAAATTAATAAAATTACTCGAATATGACTAATTGCGGCATTTTGTTGGTATTTTCATCATACACCAGGATGTACACTTGCTCGATTCACTGCAGATTTCTCACTATGGGAGAATTTAACAGATAGTAATCCATATTTGCATTTACCCCCTTTAAAAGGGCTATCGAGTTCAAATTTTTTCTTCTCTCTTATTGATCATTTTTTTTCCAGTCTCATATATTAGACGTGCAGTATAAGAGTGTCACGACCCAAACTGAAGGGCCATGACTAGCACCCGACCACACTTGCCGAGCACCAA